TATAAATTATTAGTATTTAATAATTATAATTAATATAATAATAATAATAATTAAATATTTATTATACTTTTTATAATGCATATAAAATTTTAATAAAAAAGTGCAAATTTTTACTAAATCCTCATGTGTTATTTTTTGTTGAAGACAAATTTTAACAGCTTCTACAAAATTAAATCCAACCCTTAAATATCTATTAAAAATAAAATATTTCTATTAATTAAATAATTTTTTAATAAATTAATAAATAATTTATAACTTACAATATAAGTAATTTATTTTGTAAAAAAAGGTACAGAATACATTATAATCCAATTTGACCATTCTATAGCTTTAAATCTATTAAAATGTTTAAATATATCATGAGGTAGCCTACCAAATTCAAGAGGTATATAACGTCTACTAGAATACATTAATTGTCCTATATCTTTCCAATCTCTATTAGATAAAATATAAGTTTGATTATTTAGTTCATCATTTTTAAAAAATACACCTGTCCAATATTTATACATATTAATTAAAATATTTTAAAAAATAAATGCATAATATCAATTGAAAATGATTCTGAAAAGTGAATAAATTTTAATTCACTTAATATATTACATTCTAAAATTCCTAAAATTATAAAATTATTAATTTATTAATTATATAAATAAATTATATATATTAATTAATTATCATTACCTGTTTTTTTTTATATATTTTTTTATATATTTTCTATATTTTCATTTTCAATTTTTGTTATATTATATTCAAATGATTCATTTATTCTTTTTGGTAAATTTGTAGGATCATAATTATTTTGTTTATAAATTTTAGGTATTTTACACAAATAATATACATATCTAGAATGTTGACATATATTCCTTTTAAATAATAAAATCTACATCCAAGATATGAATTATGTCTAGTTAAACACATTATTTTGTCATTATAAGAATATCACCAGTTCATAATAAAATATAACAATGTAATAAAAAATTGGTTTTTGTTAAAGCATCATAAATTATTATTCCATCTATAATATAAAAATATATTAAATTATTAAATAAATAATTATAAATCAAATATTTTTAATATATTAATATATAAA